GCCCGGGTTCAGCCCTCATAATTGGCCCGGGTTCAGCCCTCATAATTGGCGCGGGTTCAGCCCTCATAATTGGTGCGGGTTCGGCCCTCATAATAGGCCCGGGTTCAGCCCTCATAATTGGCCGGGTTGAACCCTCATAATTGGCCGGGTTCAGCCCTCATAATTGGCCGGGTTGAACCCTCATAATTGGCGCGGGTTCAGCCCTCACTTGTCGTCCCTCGCAAACAATTCGTCGCCGCAGGAATTTTATTGCCTCTTCCTGCGACGATTTAATGATGAGAGGCTCGTGAGGCCACACAATATCACAGCAAGAGGCTCGTGAGGCCACACAGTATCACAGCAAGAGGCTCGTGAGGCCACACAATGTCACAGCAAGAGGCTCGTGAGGCCAGACAATATCACAGCAAGAGAGGCTCGTGAGGCCACACAATATCACAGTAATTGGCTCGTGAGGCCACCTCATAATTGGCCCGGGTTCAGCCCTCATAATTGGCCCGGGTTCAGCCCTCACTTCTCGTCTCGCGTAAACAATTGGTCGCGGCAGGAATTTTATTGCCGCTTCCTGCGACGATTTAATGATGAGAGGCTCGTGAGGCCACACAATGTCACAGCAAGAGGCTCGTGAGGCCACACAATATCACAGCAAGAGGCTCGTGAGGCCACACAATGTCACAGCAAGAGGCTCGTGAGGCCACACAATATCACAGCAAGAGGCTCGTGAGGCCACACAATATCACAGCAAGAGGCTCGTGAGNTATTTTATATTTCAGGGTAGCGACGTACATACGAAGCGCTTCTGCTTGAACTTTATTTGTTGTGAGATTGCTTGATAGCGTCGCTGCGTTGTACGTTTGAGCTCTATTAGCTCATTTTTATTTTAAATTTCATCGTAGTGGACCATCGGTTACAGTTCAGAGTCCCAGGATTGGAGCAGTGAGGTGCGGGTTCGATCCCAGCAACCTGCGACAATTTCTGATCAGAATCGGCGAGTAGGCCGGGCGGTTAAACACAGAAAATTTGGAGCTGTGAGTTGCGTGTTCGAGACCGCAACAATCTGTGAATGTTCTGCGATGTTAAGAATCAGCCTAATCAACGCTGAAACCGCTATATATTTATATAATAAACAAGTAATAAATAACAAGTTCCATCATTGATATTGTGTCGAATATTATATTTAATGCCCGCAGAAAGAGTTGTTTGCTCCGCGTGAGAGCGCTGGAGTCGAAGGCAGGAAGATGTCGAGCTCAAGTGGCGGCAGCGGCATGAAGTCCAAGTGGATGAAGGCCTTCAAGTCCCTCAAGACTTCATCCAGCGGCCATCCCGCCAAGGACGCGGACAGGTGAACTTTTTATCCCTTCAGGACATTGCAATTTACTCTAAAATATCAAGATTTTAATCGCCACTTGAATAAAATTCAGCTGAATTGTAAACCAAATTTATCATCCAGATGAATTTTACTCAAATATTTATGTGGTTTAGATAAGGCCGCGCTGATGGGTATCTAAAACACACCTAAAAAAATCAATGGGTCAAAATGTCAAAATAATGACGCACACAGTACCTGCACGTAGCTCTGATGCTCCCTGTTACCAGGCCAAATTGAGTCAGATTGATCCCCACGGAAAACAAAAAATGCATTGCTATTTGGACAAAGTCTCGCTAATTTCTGTGAGTGTAACACTGCATCGCAACATTTGTTCGCTGTGCAGACGAGGAGGGGGGCGCACGGGCGAGATGTCGCCCCCGATCTTCGATAACTCGCACTACTTCCAGGAGTACACGTACAAGAAGATCTCGGCGTGCGATGTCTGTCATCAGATACTCAAGGGTGAGCTTATACTTATTATAGAATAATTAAAGAGTGAAGATTCAATTAATTATACTTGTAAGACTAATTAAGGTGTGGAGATTCATATTCAATGTGAGCGACTATTCATATTCAAGGGTGAGCGAGGAGTGAAGATTCATATTCATACGACTAATTAAGGAGTGGAGATTCATATTCAAGGGTGAGCTTATCCATGTACGACTAATTAAGGAGTGAAGATTCAATTAATTATGCTTGTATGACTAATTAAGGAGTGGAGATTCAATTAATTATACTTGTATGACTAATTAAGGAGTGGAAATTCATACTCAAGGGTGAGCTTATACATGTACGACTAATTAAAGAGTGAAGATTCAATTAATTATACCTTACGACTAATTAAGGAGTGGAGATTCAATTAATTATACATGTACGACTAATTAAGGAGTGAAGATTCAATTAATTATACTTGTATGAGTAATTAAGGTGCGGAGATTCATCTTCAAGGGGGAGTTTTAAAAACATCAGAATAGTTAACGGTTGGTTATTCATGCTTAGGGGTGAGTTTTGTACCTGTAACATTAATTCGGGATCTAACTTATTGAATAGAACTTATAATATTAAACTTATAAAACTAATGAAGGATTGATGATGGATTAGTTGTAAATGTGTTCATATGAGGGACGATGCCAGTGCAGTGAGGGCAGTGCAGTGAGGGCAGTGCAGGGAGGGCAGTGCAGTGAGGGTAGTGCAGTCAGGGCAGTGCAGTGAGGGCAGTGCAGGGAGGGCAGTGCAGTGAGGGCAGTGCAGTGAGGGCAGTGCTGTGAGGGCAGTGCAGGGAGGGCAGTGCAGTGAGGGCAGTGCAGTGAGGCAGTACACCACCATCACCATCATCACCACATCACCATTATCACCACATCACCACCATCACCATCATCACCATCATCACCACTTCATCATCAATCAAGGAGAGCGCTGGCCCAAGGCATCATTTTCACGAGGTGTTTGCTCGACAAACTCTGCACCAACGCGCGGGAGACGATGAGCACAAAATTATAAGTGTAGAAATAAGATTTGTTGAAATAAGATTATAAGATTTGTTGAAATAAGATTATAAGATTTGTTGTAATAAGATTTGTAGAAATAAGATTTGTAGAAATAAGATTTGTAGAAATAAGATTTGTTGAAATAAGATTTGTAGGAATAGGATTTGCTGATATAAGATTTGTTGAGAGATTTGTTGAGTTATGTTGAAATGAGATCTGTTGAAACGAGTTTTTATGAAATAAGATTTCTTGAAACGAGATTTGTTAGAATGAGGTTTGTTGAAATAAGGTTTGTTTAAATGAGGTTATTTTAAATGAGGTATACTGAAATGAGATTCTTAAAAGGAGTTTTGTTGAAATAACATTTGTGCAAGAAATTGTTAAACTGAGATTCGTTGAAATAAATTCTAACGACAATATTCATTGCATGAATCGCACGTAGTTTGCACATCAATATGTAATGATATGAACACGTATGTAATGATATGATATTTGGTTCATTTCTAGACACCGCTCAAGAAATTTTAAACGGCTATTACTTGTTGACTGTTTTTATTATTTGGTTTAATTTTATATGATATTTGTTCATGAATTCTAAGGCGAATTTCGCCAGACATGTGAATGATGTTCGGTGTTGGAGATTTTAATAGCAACAAGCTATGGAATATCTGAAATGCTGGTGGGAATTTCAAAGCAACGAAGCCGTCTTGATGCAGTGAATGCAACCGATATCGAAAATTCATATCATGAACGATCAAATTCAGGGCAACTCATGACGAACTTGCTATCTGCTTAGGAATGGCAGCGCTTCGGTTTTATTGGCCTGAACTCTAAATAAGGAATTGGAATAACGCGTCTGAAGCTTGAGGATTCAGTAGTATTTACAGTACTGAGCCTCTTTAAATTGTGGCAATATCCGATAGCTGCAGTCATAAGCCCTGTTCAATTGCGAAAAAGTCCTTCTCTGAGCCCTCTTCAATTGCAAAAATTTCCTTCTCTGAGCCTCTTCAATTGCTACAACGACACTATCTGATCCCTTTTCACTTGCTACAACGACACTATCTGATCCCTTTTCACTTGCTACAACGTCACTATCTGATCCCTTTTCACTTGCTACAACGACACTATCTGGTGTACTGGTGTGTTGGTTTACTGGCAACACGTATACTTTACTTTCTTTCCTTCCTATGCTGCCGCTTACTGACTCGAAAGTTTGCTCGACTGATATCAGCTGATATTTGTGCTTTGAGTTGTTCTAGTTTGCTGGTATGTGCTATCTTGTACCAGCCGTTATTTATTATGTGCTAGCTTGTACTAGCGTTTATTCAAAACTCTAAGTTGCTTCAGGTTTTTGTTGTTTCTCCTCAACCCCCTTTCCCCGTGGAAGGGCGGGGAGGGAGGGGAGGGAGAGAGGAAGGGAGAGAGGGGAGCTTAAAGGGGCGCACAACGGCGACCACGCCCGTGCCCAGCCCTCCACATGCCCCCTTCACCCCCTTCACTCACTCATCCCTCGCCTTTTTTTCTCCCTCTCATGCCCCCTTCACCCCCTTCACTCACTCATCCCTCGCCCTTCTCTCACCCTCTCATGCCCCCTTCACCCCCTTCACTCACCCATCCCTCGCCTTTCTCTCGCCCTCTCATGCCCCCTTCACTGGACCTTTTCCGTCTCTTCTGTTGTCTTCATCGTCATCATTATTTTCTTTTTGGTTGCTTTCCTATCATCAGTTATTTCCTATCATTATACTAGTTATTTCCTATCATTATACTGGCTATTTCCTATAATTCTACTTGTGAAGGGTTTTCTCATGTGAACCTGA